TCCCCATCCACTCCCACCAAGCCTTCTCTTTCTGCAGACTGAACTGTCCCTGCTCGTCTCAGCTTTTCATCATATGAGAGATGCTTCTCCTCCCTTCACCTTTGATAGCCCTTTGCTGGACTCTATCCAGTATGTCCTTGCCTCTCATGTGACTAGTTCTGGGCACTCCAGTACAGTACTCCAGGTGTGGCCTCACAAGTGCTGAATAGAGGGGAATGCTTCTCCTAATGCACCCCAGGATACCATTAGCCCTTTTTGCAGCCAGGGCACACTGCTGTCTCATGTTCAACTTGGTGTCCACCAGGATGCCCAGGTCCTTTTCTGCAGAGCTGCTTTCCATCTGGGTGGCCCCCAGCACATACTGGTACCTGGGGTTGTTCCTCCCCAGGTGCAGGACTTTGCACTTCCCATTCTTGAACTTCATGAGGTTCCTGTCAGCCCATTTCTTTGCCTTTTAATTGCATGAAGCCGACAACAGACTCCTTAGGCAGTGTCAGCTATCATAACTTTCTAGGTCTAGTGTTTAAATCATTTTCCTAGAGACCACTGACCATCACTCTGAAAATGAAAAAAAATTTGACAACATAGCAAACTAGCCACAATTACAGCAAAGATTTTATGGAATCAATTTAGCGAATTAAGGTAAAAGCCTACTGCGCAAAAACATCATTTCTCTACTTTATTTACCTCTTGAATAATATTAATACAATCATGTTTCACATCACTGGTTGGATGAGTACTTCTAGTTTTAGGTCAGTGATTACGTTCATATACTTTTAAAGTAAATTAACTACAGTAAGCCAAGAGAATTAGAATGGACATAAAAAGTCTTTCGAAATTGTCAGTTTTAGAGATTATTATGCCTTTTTCTCATGTCAAACAGCTATAATTAACCAGCCAGAGAGCTTAGCTACTGAGGCGACTGACACCACTGTAACAGGCTCGTGTATATAGCACATTGCCCTGTTCAATTAATTGATTTTTATAAATATTATTCCAATTAATACCAGGAGATTGTATTGGTATAACATTTCCAATTACAGGCATTTCGTATTTGCCAAGATCCTAAGTAGCTGATTTTCTATTGAGATGAAGACATTATTTTAGGTAACAGAATCCAAAATAAAGGCCAAAGAACAAATAATTTGCCTGTCACATTAGGGAAACACTAACACTTAAGAATTTCCTAATCTCTCATCACAAACTTTAGCCATAAGATCATTCTTCATCTTAGAAAGCACAAGAGACAGTAATTCATCCCCTCTCAGCACAAGCCTTTAAATAGTATGATATTAAGTTCCAAAAATGACAATGATGCAAGGATAGAAGGATGATCAGAGGAATGGAACTTTCTCTATATGAAATGTAAGATTAGGACTCTTCAGCTTGAAAACAATATTGCTGGAGAGAGGAAAAAGTGGCATTATGAACAAGAATAACTTGGAGAAGATGAACAGGAACATCATAAAGATGAACAAGAACATAACAACTGAAGTACAGTGCATATTAAACTACCAGGCATCAGGCTTGAAACAATCCAAAGAATACACTTTTTTTATTAAGTGAATAATTAAAGTAATGAACTCTCAGCTGTAGTATGCAATTCATGACAAAGGTACAGATAGATGCAAAAAAGCAGCTAGACAAGCTCATGAGTAAGAGGTGCATCGAAGACCTCAGAAGAAGCCAGACACAACCTCAGGAAGTTTCTAAACTGCTGGACCTGATTAGAACATACCCGAAGAAAGATCATTCAGTCTTGGTCCAGTTTCTTACACATTTCCTGAAACACCTCATGGCAGCCAGTACCAGAGGACAAGAGTTTACACCGGTTTCCATTCTGAGGCAGCACAAACAATCCAATGCTCATCCTGCTCAAATCAGTTTCTAACATTGTGCTAGAAAGCATACGCCAGCAAAATCTTGCTCCAAGGTATAACTGTTGATATTGCACTGCTCCACTTTTGAATAATTAAACTGTTCAGTGGTTTAAATTGTCTTAAATTGAGGTAAGCCAGGCATGCACAGAACAGTCTCTGAAAAAATTTAGTATAACAGACAACACAGACAATGCCAGCCAAACTGATAGTATTTAAGTTTTGGTGATGTTCTCAGACTTGTTGCCTTTTTTCCACCTAGTGGTAAAAATATCGCAAAACCAACCAAAAAATGGCTTTGATTTAGAAAAACACTTTTAAAAGTGGTAAAGAGGAAGATCTTAAGTAAGAATTACATAAAAAATAAAAATACCTTTGTTTCTCTAGTTTCTTCAGATTGTCTTTCTTTGCTTCTAATCTTTGAAACTGGTAACTCTGAAATTTGGCTTTCCTGTGATGTATCATCACTAATATGCAGGGTTCTCAGTTTAGCAGATTCCATTTCTAGTATAACATCATTGCTATCTTCAAAGCTGAGATCAATAAAAGCACACAAAAACATTAGTGTATTTTAATAAAAAAAAGCTATTATTATTTACAGACAGATCAAGTTGCACAGAAAAATTATGCAATTTTGACATTAAATAACTACATGTGTTTCAGAGAAGCTTACAAGTTTTAGTGATATCTGCAGGACGTGAGCTTTAAAACAACTTCTGTACTTTTGCAATGCTATTACAAGAAGTGAATAATCTAGACTAGACAGTTTCTTAAAACAGACTTTACTAATATAAACATTGTATGCATAAGCTTTTTTTCCCCCTGATGTTCTGTAACAATCTATGTTGACTTCAAAGATAAATACTGTTCCTTCATATGCTTCCAATGAGGTATTAAAGCACATAAAATTTCCGAGAATCTGTATGAAATAACAAACAATTACAATACAGCTAAATACAAAAATTAACACGCAAAATTCTGAAGTAGCACTAACAGCTTCATAATAGCTTTTTAGATTTACCACTTTCTTACATAACAAGTTTAATAAAAAAACCCATTCATTTTCTTTCTGGTAAAAGAATGCCCAAAATTGAAACCAAAAGCTTGCCTCCCACCTAGGTTCTGCACAAATAAAGTCCAAGCAACTTTCCTTTCCCACAAGAACCATCTTATTAAAAACAGATATAAATTCCAAGTGTATAGCAACACTACTTCGCAACATTACCAAGCAGTGCTTTGAGAGAAATAAGGATAAGCTAATAGCCTTCAGGAACATCCTAAAAAAAAAGTGAAAGCAGTTTTGGATGGGATTTTAGTATTAATGTAAATTAACTTTGCAAGGGCAGCCCACCAGGGCAGAGAATACATCAAGAGTGTAAATTAAAAACAGCTTACTAAAACCCAGGACAGTCCTCAGAAACCAAAAACCTGCCCATTCTGTGCCAGTTAACGTTATGGTAAGCATGAATAAATAAAACCAATATTAAATCTTCAAACTATTTTTCCTTTTGGTTACCCTTTCCATTGTAAACATTACCTGCATAAATTGACATCACTTTCTCTCTGCATTATGTCATCCACTGATAAAAAGGACTCTGATCTCTCTTCCTCTGTAACAGCACACTCATCTTGTTTTCCTTCAGCAACACTATCCAGTTCTTCTCTACAGGTAGTATGGCCATCATTGTTTGTATCACGTACCATTTTTTTTTCTGCTAATGAATAAGGATTAAATCAATTTGGACGTTCTGGGCAACATCTTAGAAATCCAATAGTCACATCCTAGCTACACTGAAGAAAGAGTTAATTTAAAACAAAAAATGCCAGTAGAAAATGCCTAAGTATTAAGATTTAAGAGAACTGTTCCCAGCAAAAATAAAATGTTTAGATTTAGTATGAAATCTGATTTTGAAAGGCATTGTTCCACAACATCCCATGGCAGATCAGTGATATCAATCAAAACTCAAGTTCTCATTTTTAAGTTTACAATGTGTTTATATAAAATTTATATTTGAACATTTGAAAGTGAGCATTTTTGCCTCTTACTTTTTTTAGAGGATTTGTCTTCTTCAGCAATTTTTGAAGGGACAGCCATTTCTTCTGGAAGATTCTCCCCTTCCTGTTCAATATCATCTTTTCTCTTCTTCTTTCTCTTCTTTTTTGCTAATGCTGGCTCTAATGCAACCTGTTCTTCTGCCTGTTCAGAAATGCCTAAAGATTCCTCATTTTCTTTCTCAGCCGTCACAGCATCTGCTTCTGTTTCTGCATCAGAAATTCTGGCTTCCTGAAGATCATCTTGATCATTAGCAGCTTCTGTGCTGGCAGCTTTTGCTATTGAGACAATATGATTCCTAGTTACTAGACTGGTGGAGTATTAGGAACCATAAATCACAACGGTATTTCCACTAGCAACATCTTGTGAATTCATACATCACTGCCCATATACTGCCAGGCGTATGAGCAAGACCATGAAAAGTCAGTCACTGACTTTAGAAAAGCTTCAGCATAAATTAACTTCAACACTAAATGCAAAACACATTCTGTACATGGGACAACACTTCACCAGGGTAAAGTCAATACAGGATATAAAGCCTATTTAGTAAATGTTTTTGTTCCTGTACTTTTTAGCAGGTTACACAGCCGCTTGTGGATCCAGCAAAAATAGGCATTGCTATTCCTGAAAAGAATTATCATATCTCTGCAGAAAGAGGTAATTATGGTTGCAGAAAGTATGCCGTGAAAAAGTAATTTTGATCAATAGATGTATTGTCGTAAATCATACTTATTTACGTAAAAAAGCTGAATTAATATCTAGCTAATAATTAAAATTCTCTTCTGGGTTTAATGAAGTTTCTAAAATTCTCTTCCATCCCCTTTTCAGGACGTTTTGTCTTGATCTTGTATTTGTGCCGAACATGAACCACCAAGAACTTTCCCCTGTCCTTTTTATTATTCCTATACGAACTTTGTTCCTCTGTAATTAAGAAATCCAAAATGCAAGAGAAGTAGAAAAGCATACTCACCTTGCTTTACACATAAAGTACCTTTAATCTACCATTAAAGTCTATGAACAGAATTTCTATATGTAGCTGTAAGTCCTAAGAGGTGGGACATTTTACTTAATCAAATCTGCATCAAGGCTATAGTACCTTTTGGCTTCTTCCGAGGCCTTGATGGCTTCTTTTCCTTTGGCTTCTGGCTTTTAACAGTCTTCTGCTTCCTCTTTTCCTCATCTGCTAAGACCTTCTCAAGCAGCTGGGCAAAGAATTCAAAATCAAAAGGCCGCTTTTCTTCTATCAGATTAAAGCAAAGAAATAGAAAAGATTTCAAAGTTGATAATTTTTCCAAGTTCCTGCTTTGTAAAATAATCAGTGGTACATGTTATGATATTAAAAAGCAAAGGCTATATAAATTTAAACAGAGAATTGTTTTTGAAAATACTTTCTGTATCACTTGAGCAGGGACTAGGGTTGACATATATATGGATTATGGTAGCTTGGTTTTTAAAAAAAAATAGTGAAAACGTTACAGTACTTAGTAGTTTAGAAAATTTAAGAAGTGACAAATACACGAATTGTACCATGGTATCAAATGTATTAACATGCTGCTCTAGAACTTACATAGCTCATTCAAATAACACACAAAGCCTTTAAGGATTCTCAAAGCAGTTTACAGTAAGTAACTGTGCTAGAAATTCCCATGAATCAGAATAATCTTCAACTGAATATATATATATATGAAATTTTATATTAATCTCATTTATCGGACATATAGAAAAGCCAGAAATTAAACCTAAAGATCTTCACTGTGAACCACGCTTGTTATAAAAACCTAAGATTCTCCAGCTTCTGAACTCACCCAGGAGCAAAACCTTTTTCTTATAATTAATTCAAGCAAGGCAAAGTACAAAAATCACCATGAAAAAAGATGACTACCATTTAATGACTCATTGTAGGGTGGGGTACATTGACTTTACTTACTGAAAGCTTTGTCTATCCTCCATCCATTAGCTTTTTCCTCACGTTTGAACTTGTTCTAAAAGCAAAAGTGTATTTGTCTTTTTCAGTAAGCAAGAAATGCAACAATATATTGTAAAAAATGGCAGATCAAGATAAAGCTTCTTCAATGCAACAAAATTTTCTACCAACTAAAGCTGTTAAAACTTACCAGCACACTCACAGAACACAAGTTCGTAATTAATTTTTAAATATAAAATCTGTCACCAACAGATATCATCAGTCATAATTTTTTATTATTTTCAACATCTTTGTCCTTACTTCCCGTCTAAGCAGGGTTTGAAATATCGAAGATTTTCCCAGCTGGATGCCATGAAAGAGGCAACACAGAAGACCCTCACCAAACATCCACTTATGCTTAGCAGCATTCTTCAATTAAAATAAAATCAAGACAAACTGTGTCTAGATATACTAGATTTACTAGATATGCTGATCGGAATTCAACCCAGCATATTAATGTTTCAGCTACTTGCTACCTCTTGGAAACAGGTATTAAAAAAGCATTGCTACAGAGCCAGTTAGGATCAAAATTATCAGGACTAATAGAGGAAGCATAGGAGTAGCAAGTGAGAAACAGAAAACTGAAACTAGACGTTTAATTGCTTTATTAAGTGCTTTAATTTTTACCTTAATTTCTGCTCTGGCTCTATGAGGAAACAGCCGTCCAATCAAGGAGAAGTCTGTTCCTACCATACTGATAGCTAAAAAGAACATGTCTGTTTCTGGAACAGAGGGGAAAAAAACAAAAAAAAGAAAGATACAGACACTTAAGTATTTAGTTAACCATCCTTCTTGCTATCTAAAATAAAAACACCTTTCAAACTTAACACAATGAGATAGATAACTTTAAGGTTATCTACTGTGGCTGCAAGTTCAGCTGGGCTGGAGTGTGTGTGTTATTTTACTTGAGTACTTCTAATAACATTTGCTGAATGAAATATTAACAGAAAGAATTGTCTAATCTATTATAAAACAGAGTGTGAAATATGTTTTGTAAAGCTAGTAAATCAAGGCTAACCAACTTGAAATTTGAATTATGAACACAACCACAAAAAGAAATCAGAAGAAATCATGTGTAAAAGTACCATCTCCAGTTTTATTTGTTAACAGGAAAAGAGTGCATTCCAAAAGCAGCACAGTGACTCCTGAAGCTAATTTTTCCATATATGGTTGTAAAAAATCAATTTCAATTTTAAGAAGTCTTGCATGGTGTTGTCAGCCTAGAGATAATAACCAGTTCACAGCAGGCATAGTAAAAAAACCAACCCACCCACTCATAAAAGCACAGCTGTCCATGCGCACTGAAATCGGCCCACATAGAGATGGCTTATAGAATTTATTCCTGCCCATGCTGGAAGAACCAAGTAAAGAAGCTGTTAAGAAGTGCTAATTGTTCCACATAGAGCTCAAATACCTGGACACCAGAATCCAAAATTATGCTTTTGATAAGGCAGACTAGCATTTCCACAGCATCTGAATACCCATGACAGAAAAAATTCACAGGTAGCCTGCATATCATAAGGCACTGGGTTTTTTAAACATGCCGATTTTCACAGTAAACATTAGAGCTCTGCTTGTTGTAAGAGTTTGGAGGGTTGAGACTACGTCACACACAAGTAGATCAATTTACGCCACTGGAAATAAAAACTGTTGCGTACAAAGCGTAGATGGAAAACCAAGATTTTTCTTGTCCTGATCTCAGCTGGGATAGAGTTAATTTTCTTCCTATCCCATCTGAAACCAGGACATTTCTGCAGACTCAAAACTTGAAACCAAAAATATACTAACCTTTATTTGACCATGGTTTCGTGTAAAAACTTTTCCTGAAGCTGGAATATGTAGTTGTAGAGCCACGCTCAAAGATGGGATCATTTTCTTCTACAACACATGGACCTTTTGTTCTTAAAACTTCTACAGTTAAACTGGAAAAGCAAACACACGAAGAGACTCATCTGAAAATACTGCTATCAAGACACACAGTAGATGTTTATAAGCCAGCTATTCAGACTTTTCCTGCCATAAGTCAGAGTTTGTACTGTAATCAGGTGTAATAATTACATTAACATGTATTTTAATGAGAGAATGCAGTAAGAAATCATTAACCTACTCATCCTGTGCAAGTAAATTTGTTTTTCCCTTTTTATAAGATATAGTACAGACAAACTTAATTAAATATCTTTAAAAAAAAATTGTCTTTTTAACATTAAAGAAAATTATTTTGCAAAACCACAAGAGCCTCTCCGTATCCTTTTAGAATACTTTCAAATTCCTTTACCAGGACTGCTCTAGCCTTACACCTTGGCCTAAATCTCATGCTAATAATACATCTGGGGAACTCAATAATTTGGTAATCTGATACTTTAAAAAAGTTGTATTCTGAGCAAAGTTACTGAAAACACTGACAGCTGAATAACATGCAAGATGCAAAGCTGCAGCAATTCATACTGACAACTGAGTAACAGTAAGCAGACACACACAACTATGAGAAACAAAGAAGTCAACCAAATAGAAGACATTTGGACAAATATTCAGCACTCATTCACTGTAACAAAATACGACATCTTCCTCTCTATCTCCTTCTCCAAAAACATTTCTCATAGAGAAAGTCTGCCACTACTGAGAGGCAGATAACTGTTGCTCATATTTTGCCGCATATTTGCACTGTTTTCTAAGCTAGCATAGCTCAACTCTCAACACATACATACACTCATGTTTCTCCCTGTCCAAAGTAACTGCTCTCTATTCACAAACTAAGCAGCAACGTAGTATATATTGTCCTTGAGTCAGGCACAGAATTTGTTACCTTTCTTCGTCCAGAATAATTGAACCATCTTCTGCTACTTTCACACGAGGAACTAGAAGTGGGCCATCCTGACTCTCTTCCCCGTTCTCTGCTTCTTCCTCCTCATCTTCCTCTTCATGACCAGGAGTATTTTTCTCTTCCTGTCTACAATTGTAAGAGATCAAGCAAAAAAATATTACTTTTGTTAGTGTTTTGAATGGCTGTTCTGTATGCCAGATGTTCAACAATTTAATGAACCACCCTACAATGCAACTGTCCTGGTTTCAGCTGGGATAGAGTTAGTTTTCTTCTTAGTAGCTGGTAGAGCGCTGTGTTTTGGATTTAGGATGAGAATAATGTTGATAACACACTGATGTTTTGGTTCTTGCTGAGCAGAGTTTACACTAGTCAAGGACTTCTCAGCTTCTTGTGCTCTGCCAGGTGCATAAGAAGCTGGTAGGGACAATAGCTAGGACAGCTGACCCAGACTGGCCAAAGGGCTATTCCATACCATATGACGTCATGCTCAGTATATAAGCTGGGGGAAGAA